AACCCACTACTATTCAGTAGCTTTCAACACCAAAGGATCTGTGTTTTTGAACCTGTACACTCCACACTGGTTTGTCGTCTTATTTATTATCTGCATCGTTTTTATGTCTATATTTTTGATTTACTTCATTTTGTATATTGCTTCGTGTGTTGCCTGTTCTGTCTGTACAGCACTTTGGTTGGCCTTGTAGCGGTTTTAAGTGCTCTATATATAAAATGGTATGGTATGGTACTTTGCGGTTTTTCACTTATCGTGGGGCTTCAGGGTACAGGTCCCCCGCGATAAACGAGGGACTAGTGTAGTTTAAAAATGTTGTGCGGTTTTAAATTGAAAGTATGTGCAGCTGTGCACATCAACAGACCCATAAAACCACAAAGAATTTGCATTTTGTGCTTGTAGACAAACATTAACAAGATGTTTGTGGAAAATATCCATATATTACCTGCATGAAATAACATTTCTTTATTCATTTCTACTAAGCATTAGGTTCTTTGTAAAATTAGAAGAAACAAATTTTGATTTGTTCTGGCTACTTACTATGATGGACAGTCTTTTTAAATGTTTTTCTTTTGTTTTTTTGTCACTTAAAGAGCACTAAAATATTTACTTCAACACAAAAACCATGAGAAAATTAAATCATTGGTGTTTGATTGTAAGTGTATCAACAGTTTTGCAGTCGCACATTGAAAAACCTTTTGCCTCCTTTTGTTTGGCAGCAACAACCGGCTAATGTTGACATGACAGCTGAATGTAATCCGACAGCTAATCACTGATGAAATATTTTAAAAATGAATCAGCGATGACTGATCTTACAGTGATTAAAAAAAAAAAAATGCTAAAATGATCTGATTAAACAGCGATATGAGCCAAATTTAGGGTCAGCTACTTGTTTCAGGGAGAACAGCAAAAAGATGCAAGTCTTGGAAGTGAAATTTGGGTAACAGAGTAAAAACACAACCGCACATGAAGTTCAGCAGCAGAGCTACAACACATCAAAATGAGGGGAAGTCCCTAATCTGGTGTTACTAATTCTGTTAGCAGAGGGGTTTCCCAAATCTAAATAATTTAAGAAAGGCTTGTTTAGCACGTGCATGACTTTGCAAAAAGAAAAGAACAAAGAGGGTACACATTTCAGCCCATGAATGGAAGTAATTCAGTATCTTCTGTGTGTTGTCTTCAAGAGGTTTACCTGTTTTATGAGCATGTAAGTTTCTGACATGATCTTCTCAATGCGCCCGAGGTCATAGGTCATGATTTTCTGGCCTTGCTGCCACACTCTGTAGGCGTCAAGCAGCAGGGTTTTTCCGGACTCCACATCCTCTAGTAGTTTCCGTTTCCTGTTTGGTTTTCGTAGTATCCCCTGTTCAGTTCCACCTGACGGCACGGTGACTTTTTGCGCCGACACCTGAAGCTGCTGCTGTCTTGAACTGATACTGAGCTCCTCTAGAGACAGCTCTGGTGTGCGGATGATTTCAGTCACTTTCTGCTGGGGGTCTGGGCTGCTCAGGAATGTTTCAGTCTCCGTTTGGTTGCCCTGAGAATCTGCTGTGGTAGAGGGCTTCCTCCACAGGCTCGTTTCCATCTCCATGGGTTCGTCTGGTCCTGCTTTGTGTCCTTCATTACCAACAGTCTCCACCTTCCCAGGAAAGCCCTCCTGAACTTTACTCCCTTTTTCTGTTGCAAGGGGTGTTGGCGTGAGCTGAGCCTGGGAGGCTTCTCTGGGCCCTGAGTCAGAGGCTCCCTCTGAGAGTCCGGGCTTTTTAGGTAGCGGATGTTTGCTGTCCTCAGAGCTGGGCCTGTTGGACGTGTCTGCTGTGGTCATCTCCCCCATGGAGGGTGCAGGTGCTCTGTGAAGCTGCTCCGACACCTGAAAGAAAACAGAACCTGTCACAACATGAAGCGGGAGCATGCCAGATGTCTGTCGGCTTGCCGTTCCTTACTCCTGTGAGACTGTTCAGATTGTCCTCCAGGACTTTTACAGTTAGGAAGAACGCTCTCTTGGCCAGAACCTGGCGATCGACATCCCGTAAGTACTTCCTTCGTGAAAGAGGAAGAGAGATGCAATGAAGCAAACATAAATAACAGAAACAGTACTCACACTGCAAGTCCTTACTTCCCCTGATCAGGGTTTCTGTGCAGCATGAACGAGACCTTCAGTAGGGTATTGTGATCCTTAAGATGAGACAGCACCTCCAGCAAGAGGACAACAGATCGGTTCATGTGAGACGCAAAACTTCCTGGGCGATCAATCTCATCTACTGGAATACGCCAGATGCCCTGAGGAGGACCAGAAGAAAAAACTAAACATTGATATATGCCACAAATAATTACTGCTACCAGCTCTACTAGTTTATTAACAATATCAATATTGACAGTAATAACATTAATATAAACAATAATAACGCTGTAAATAATTATAATATAAAATCACCACTATTAATGATGAGTTACACAAGATCACTCAAAGTTACTGAAGCCAAATGGTCTTGAAGATGATAGAATATTATCTGACAATGCCCCATCGGGCTGTTATAAACTTGAAGTTTGTGTTTTCATGCCTGCTCTTAGCTGCGAAGGCCTGCAGAGTTTATGACACATGGAAACAATTAACAGCGAGACACAGAAACACTGAGAGGAAAGAAAAAAGTGTGGAAAGCAAGAAGAATTAATTTGACCAAAACGCATAGCATTGGGAGAAGAAAGGCCTAACGAGGGGATGGAAAGGCTGCGGCGGAGATCCTGTGGACTGGCTGCTCATGTAGGGGGGGGGTTGAGTGGGGGTTCTCTCTGGGTGCACATGATAGGCAGCCTCATTAGTGTTCAGCTCTGTCCAAGACGTGTAACAGAGCAGGAGACAAGCTGCCAAAACGACTGTCCTCGTTTGCAAAAGAACTGACGAGGGAGTTTCTGATTAAAGAGTCCACCTTTTTTAGCGAGCACATGTCCTCTCAGCAGGTAAACCGAGGCGAGGCAACATCCTCTGAAGTGACCGATGGGACTACAGATGGTGGCCCGGCAGCATTCAGGCTCCAGGCAGAAAGCACGTGGCACAGAGCACAGACTCAGAAAATGTGTGAAAGACTAAAAACAAAGACGACTTTATCGGGACGGGAGAGAACACACAAGATGGATCTGTCTGGTGGTGGTGGTGGGGTGGGGGGGCTAACAGACTCCAGACTGTCAGATGACATTTTCAAAGCCAGTGGAGAGGAACACTAAGTCAGACCCTGAGGATGGACCTGCAGCCTTCTGACCAAGAACGTGTCAGAGCCGATCATTGAAAACAAAACTGCAGGAACTTCTGCGAGCCAACACACATTTTCTGCAGCTGTCTTTTCAGAAATGAGTTAATTCTGATCTGTCTGTTCAGATTTTTTAATAAAACCTAACCCGTTTCAGAACCTGAAGCACAAAGAAAATCATGAAAAATATAGCCCAAAAGGAAGCCTGACAAATATATTTAATATTGTTACATGATGGAACTGAGCAGGGCTCAGCAAGGTTTAAACTTTTCAATGCAGATTATGAAATAAAGCCTCCAACAAGAGTGGGACAAGTAGGACGAGGGGGGTGGGCTGTGCTCACTTAAAAAGACAACTAATGCAGGAAAGTTGTTCTTCATCTGACAACCATCCAATGTCGACAAATCTCTTTAGGGGAAAGCAGAGCTGTGGCTTTACACAGATTATGCTGCAGCACAACGGCTAAAGCAGATTTGCAAGACTTTATCTGCAATAATTTTAAGCATCTCCCCCCCCACACCCCACCCTTTTTAAGCCAGAGACAGAAAACATAACCACTTCTTGAAAAACTGGAGTGACAGCTTTGTCACAAATGTGACAAACACATCAAGAAAAGTGTCAGATTGAAATCATGAGGCAAACACAAATGAGAAAAGACAAAAAGAAATCTGACCGTCATCATTTGATACTGTAGACATGCCGTCTCATAAGCTTCACAAATAAACACAAGAGCAGCGGAAAGTTTACAAAAAATTAACATAGGGTGAATTTTTAGCCACAACGTTTACAGAACTGATTAAATTACTTATTGGATAATGCCTAAAAACATTGGGGGATAAATTCCCAGTCTCGTTTCTGCTTCATCTACATGTTCCAACACGCCTCTGACATGCCTTTAATGACAGGAAAGGTTCAAGCCAAACATCACGACAGGGAAGTTGTGCTGTAAACATATTTGTAACAACTGGTACATCTTTCTTGTCATGTAATTTTACTAGTTGGTTAAAACAGCAACTTCGAAACGGCAGAAATAACAAAAAAGCAACAAGACTGAACCGTTCCATGTAAACAATACCCCAAAGACAAAAAAAACAACCTCCTAGCACAAGTCCAATAAAGACTTCTGAATGTTTACATGTTTGCAAACGTGAAAAGGAAAGAGAAAGGAACTCACCATCACCAAACAAAGCTACTCCACGGCGCCTGAGCTGGTGTATTGTTTAGGACAGTTTCCTGCTCGACAGCAGAACCAGCAGCCCTGACAGAAGCCTCCACCCTGTAAAACACAGCTCACGCTCCGACAGCAAGAAGTGGTGAGCTGCATCTGGGTGCTGGGGCTGCGAGGGCTGCTGGAGAAGAACAGAGGGAAGCACAGCTGCACATGGCAGAGCAGGAACAGAGAAAGAGACTGGCAGCTGCTGGGGCAGGATGAGAAACAGCTCTGGAGTCAGGGCCTATAAGCTCAGTGTGCCTCTGACAGACAGGCTGACTCGCTCCTCTCCTGATTTCAAACCCTGCCATCTCAAAACAAAAACACCCACGCACTTCAGCTCTGCTCTACCCTGACCCCAGCTTGGTGGAGTTTCCCCCCTCTCCCCGCCTCTCTTTATTTCTCTCCAACTATATGGAGCATAGAGCCAATCGCTGTACGTCCTGCCAGCCAATCGCAGCCTGGCGGCGAAAACCCCGCCCATCCGTGTACACCCACATAACACAGACACACAAACAGGGCCGTGACAGAGAGCGAGAGAGAGAGCGTAATGAGGGAAAAGAGCGAAACAGAGAAGAGTAATAAACAAACAAGGGGTGGGGTTGAGCGTGATCAACCTGAAAAATGAACGACTGGAAAAGAATCGGTGCTTTGTCATGACTCCAGTTTAGAGGCATTAAGGAGGAAGAGAAGCCTTGAAGCCTAACAAACAGGAGGCAACATTTTTGTATAAACAAAAACCCACATTAGCCATATTTAGAGCGCAGAGCAGCAGTGTGGAACAGGCTGTTTTGCATACACACATTTCCTCCGTCAGCCAGCAGAGCTCCGACAGCAGCCCTCACCTTTTCCCGTCTTTCAACTCTGGTCGTGTCTCACCAGCTGGCCACCAAACGCATACAAAACAAACACACCTTTAAACACACCAGTTACTGAGCAAAACAAGGGAACAGAACGCATGCTACAGGCAAACTTTCATCATGCCAATCCAAACTTCCACCGAGCGCACTCACTGGATCAGTACTCCTCCTTAAAGAAACAAAAATACAACCAAGGTTTTCCCAAGCAAAGCTCCATCTACAGCATATTGCACAGCTGAACACACAAATACTTGAGTCGTACGTCAAACCATGGCAAGTAATGCAAGTGTAATGGCTCTCCAGAAGACTGGGCTCTCCTAACGTAACAAGACACTGATGTATTCCTGTAAGCATCTTCAACTCCGTTCCAATACGCAAACTTCTAATGTTGGGAAAAAGGACTAAATGCTTAAAAATGCTGCAACAAGGACATCCATTTTCTCTGGAGCGTTTAGAGCAAACAAACATGTGGGTGGAAGAATATGTAAGCAAGATGTAAGTAGGTGTGTGATGTCCCTTGCAGGGTAGAGGAAGCACGAGGCAACAGTGAGCCTGAGGGAATGCACGGGGACTACACAGGCATCCTGAACACCCAGAGGGTCTGCTATAACAGCACAACATTAACTACATATTCAACATAACCTGCTACAATTACTCATTGGACTTCAGATAACTGCAATCAAAGAAGCAGCTTCAAAGAATGAAATGTCAGAGCATCAAACTAGAAGCATTCGGGGCGCGCACACTGCCTAGACCATATGGTCACTCACGCAGTAACATCTTGTGCACAGATAAGAATCCTTAAAAAAAATCCTGGATCTGGACTGTGATCCAGATCACCACCAAAATTTAATAATTTGTTCTTTGTGACAACCTCAGCATTTGGGGCTGAGATGGGGTAGAGGTAGGACAGCCGACTTGGGACCAGAACGTTGCGGTTTGACTCACGGCCATTTCCACATATTGTGGTGTCTCTGAGCAAGACACCCAATCCCCAATTGCTCCCTGGGTGCTCAATAGCTGCCCACTGCTCCACCTGGGTGAATCCCAGGTGCAATGGGTTAAATGCAGAGAACCAATTTCATCATTGTATGTTCCCATACAATGATGACAACATATATCACTTATACCTGGGCGGCTGTGGCTGAGTGGTTAGAGCAGTTGTCCTCCAATACAAGAGTTGGAGGTTCGATTCCACCAGCAGTCACATGCTGACGTGTCCTTGGGCAAGGCACTTAACCCCTCATTGCCCCTGATGTGTGTCCCATTGATGTATGAATGTGATAAAGCACTGACTATTCTTTGTATAGATTTAGTAGAGTGCTGTATGAATGGGTAAATGAGGGCACAGATTGTAAAGAGCTTTGAGTATAATGATAAGCTAGAAAGGTGCTATATAAGTACAGTCCATTTACCATTTATCATACTTATACTTACACTTATTTCCTGCAAATGTCATGAAAATCAGTTCATAAGTTTGTGAGTAATCTTGCACAAAAACAGACAGACAGACAGACAAACAAACGTTACTGAAAACAAAACCTCCTTGGAGGTATCCATCAAAGTATAGTAAGTAGTCTTACTGTGAAGCAGTTAGTGATTTGTATCTATGAAAGTGCTATACAAATGAACATTACTTACTTACAAAGTTAAGTCAGGTCCTCTGGACGGTTTCTTTTTGTTGAAATGTTTCGTCTTTCATCCAAAACACTTCATCAGTCTTGAGTTTGTTGCAGCTCCTCGAACTGATGAAGCGTTTTGGTTGAAAGACGAAACATTTCAACAAAAAGAAACCGTCCAGAGGACCTGGCTTAATTTAGTTGGACTTTCCTACCTGGATCATGAATCAGGATACTCCTTTAAGGTAATTATAATGCAGACTTACCACTAATTCTGTTTAATGAAATATTTTGTCTAACAAACCATGGTTTGGCAATCCACATGACAACTAATTAAGTAACCTTA